CGGCCGCATGTACTGAGCGCTCCGCTCCGACAGGACCCACAGGAGTAATTAGGCGGCTGTAGCCGACGATAAAACCGGGGACACTTATCCCCAAGCAAGCATGTCTCAGGCCAAGGGGAAACGGCAAGTAGAAAAGGCCGAAAAAAACGCGTTTTTCACCTCCCGGACGCCGCAGGGGAAGCAGGCCTTGGTGCAGGAGGAATTCCAAGATGGCGCCGACGACCAGGATGAACAGCATAGTAAGCCCCCTGAGAATGAAAACCCTGTCACACAGCAGGTAATGCGGACACTACTAGAAGAAATGTCTTCCAGGCTGGAAAACAGCTTTAAAACAGCAATAGGGGCCATGCATAAAGATATCCAAGAGCTGGAAGTGAGAACAACCGGCACAGAAAAAAAAATGGAGGAGCTAGTTGAAGCACATAAAGGTATGGAGGGAGAGGTGGAAGAGATCCGCAGCCAAATGAAAATGTATGAACTAAAGCTTGCTGATATGGAAGACAGGGCCCGCAGAAACAATCTAAGGATACGTGGGATAAAGGAGGAAGTGGGACAAGCAGAATTGGCAGCTTATCTGACTGCCATGTTGAAAAAACTAGCACCTGATATACCAACAGATCAATTGCTGATGGACAGATACCATAGAACTGATAAACCCAGCTTCCTGCCACAGGACACCCCGAGAGATGTCCTCATAAAGATGCACTATTATCACGTAAAAGAAGTGATACTCCAAACGAGCAGGGCGAAGAAGAAACTCCCCGAACCTTACGGGGGATTGCTGATCTTCGCGGACATATCATCATATACACTAAAAAGAAGGAGAGACTTTAAGGGCATCACGGAACAGCTCAGGACCCACAAGCTCCCATACCGGTGGGGATACCCGGTGAAAATCCTGGTGTCCAGAGGCGGGAAGATATCGACCATAACAACACCTGAGGAAGGAACTCGATTGCTACAGCGTTGGGGCATAGCCGAGCAGAGCCAGAGACGAAGCCCGAATAGGACAGGCGGTTCCTCCACCAACTGGAGAAAAGCCTGAAAGACTCTGTCATTGGACTCATAGACTGCGTACTATACCGAGTGATTGTGGTGAGAAAGGTCATGATGCAACGACCATGGAGGAACGTAAGGGTATCGTATAAAACTAAGTGACTTACTGAGGTTATGACACAGTTAGATAATTTTAGAAAAAAAAACAAAAAAACACACTTTTAACTGTTTACGTATATAAGACCTCATAAGTGGTAAATCACTCCAGTAGGGTGGCCTGGGACCAGACTGCCTAGACGCCATGACAACCATGACGGCACAGGAGTGGGCCAAGTCGGGGAAGCACCCCACCGAGAGGAAGTAGTACTTCCACCCCCCAGAGGTACTACATTGTACCTATGCCGCATACGGCACACGACATATTCTTGTTAAGTTCATTTACCCTGTTAATGTTATGTTCCCAACTTCCCCCCGGTCTGGCTGGGACCAGACAAAATATAACCTTCCCCACATGCCCGCAGGACGCTTATACAAAACATCAAGCACAAGGGGCTCTTGTACCCAATAATGTCCTCAAGGGCTCCCAATCACCCACGAATAGGCGAGAGAGGGGTGCCCGAATCTTACCCTCCAAGAGGTCTAGTCGCTCGACTTGATGCTGCTGGGGCGAGCGAACTCCCCGCACAGGTGCTTACAATTCAGTATGTCCCTTACTAAACTAACGGGGTACAGACCCCCATGAAAATATACTCGTTAAACGTTAGAGGGTTAAACCTACCGGTTAAGAGACACCAATTGTACAGAGACCTTAAACAAGCAGATGCGGATGTTGTTTGTATACAAGAGACGCATTATAGGACCGATGACTATATCCCACCATCTGTACACGACTACCCACACCAATACCATGCGGCTTCCACTACAAAGTCCAAAGGGACTTCCATACTAATATCTAAAAGAGTGGCATTCACAATTTCAGTAGAGCTGGACATAAATGGGAGATATGTTATATTGAAATGTACTATTAACAACATGCTGTACACCATCACGAATCTTTATTCACCTAACACAAATCAGGGCGGGTTCCTACAACATCTGTTACAGAAACTGTCCACAATTCAAGAGGGAATGTCCATTATATGCGGGGACTTCAATCATGTATGGGACCCAAAGTTGGACTCCAATACCCCACGCCACAGCCCCAGATATAAAATACTACACAGACAATGTAAAAAAATACAGAACCTCCTATCCCTACACCACTACTTTGACACATGGCGGATAGCCCACACATCGGAGCGGGCATATACCCACTTCTCACATGTCCACAACACATATTCGAGGATCGATGGGATCCTAATCCACGGACAGGCCCTTAATCAAATAGCTGACTGCGACATAGGCCAAATCACTTGGTCAGACCACGCACCAGTTACGCTGACGGTCAAAGACCAATATGATTATAAACAACGCAGCCCATGGCGGTTGAATGCCTCCTTACTGTATGATAGCACATTTAAAAAGGAAATAGAGGCCACTATCCGTAATTACTTCTCAGAAAATACCACTCCAGATGTGTCTAAGGGCACAATCTGGGCGGCACACAAGGCAGTGGTTAGAGGGGTCTTCATTAAAAGGTCATCATACCTGCACAAACAGTCTTCATCCCAAATTACACAATGGAGACGGGAGCTATACCAGCTGAACACACAGAACCAACACTCACCCTCTAATGCCATTAAAATGCAAATCTCCATCATTACAGCAAAACTACACCAGAGGGCGCTAGAGCAGACAGGGTTCATGCTTCAACGAATGAAGTCGCGACAATATATGCAAGGGAATAAAGCTAGCAAACTCCTAGCTAGGAGGTTACAAGAAAAAAGAGCAAACCAAAAAATTGCCTATCTCATATCCCCCACGGGAGAGAAGAAAATGATCCCAAAAGATATATGCAATGAATTTGCTAATTATTACGCCTCTCTATATAACATAAATAAGAACGACTCTACGTTCCACCCCACAGAGGAGCACATAAACGCTTATCTGGCCACGATAAACCTCCCCAGGCTCACGTCCCAACAGGCGCAAGATCTCATAAAACCGATATCAGAGACAGAAATCCATAAAGTAATCAAAAACCTACCTAACGGCAAAGCCCCAGGCCCGGATGGCCTAGACAACAGCTATTACAAAACCTTTCTACACCAATTAGCACCCCAATTAGTACACATGTTTACAGAGGCAACCACTACACAAGCTCTCCCTACAGAATCACTACTAGCCCATATTATCACCTTACAAAAACCAGGGAAACCGCCCACTGTCTCCCAAAACTTCAGACCCATTTCCCTGCTCAATACAGACGCGAAAATATTCACCAAACTGTGAACGAGACTGAGCGCACTCCTCCCCCAGTTAATCCACTCAGACCAGGTAGGATTTGTGATTGGGAGACAAGGAGCGGACAACACACGCAAAGTCCTAAATATAGTACACAGTCTGCCCAGAACACACAAAGAGGGGGGCCTTGTGATATCCCTAGACGCGGAGAAGGCCTTTGACCGCCTGCACTGGAAATTCCTGGAGGCGGTCTTGGAAAAAGTTTGGGGTGCCAGGCGAATTTCGCTCAGCGGTTAAGGCGCTGTACAGCGAGCCGAAAGCCCAAGTACTCAATGCAGGATTCCTGTCGAACCCCTTTGGCATCTCCAATGGGACGAGACAGGGGTGCCCTTTGTCGCCCCTGCTCTATGTCCTAGCCCTGGAGCCGCTAGCTTCCAAGATCAGGGACCATAACTCTATACATGGCGTGCGCATAGGCGACAGGGAATACAAAACCAACTTATTCGCGGACGATGTGCTACTGACCCTGACCCAACCACTAATATCGATGCCACACTTACTAAGTGTAATAAAAGAATATGGTAAAAGTTCCTATTACAAACTAAACGTAACTAAAACCCAGGCAATGGGAATTGGTATACCCACTGAAGTGATAGGAGTGCTGAAAGAGAAATTTGAGCTGGACTGGAGAGCAGACAGTGTCACCTTCCTAGGAATAAAACTGACTAAGACAATAGGGGGACTTTTCAAGGCCAATTACGAGCCTCTGCAAAAAGAATTAGAGACCAGCTTGGCAGCATGGAAAGATAAATACCTGTCTTGGCTGGGACGGATGGCAGCTTTTAAAATGTCTCTTCTCCCCAAACTACAATATCTATTTAGAACGATACCGACAGGCCTACCGTCCTCATATCTAAACAAAATACAAACAATACTCACCAAATTTGTATGGGCACAAAAGAGAGTGAGAGTAGCGGCAAAATTCCTATACAGACCAACCACCCAGGGAGGTCTAGCATTGCCGAATATTAAAACCTACTGTCAAGCGACATTGGTAGCCCCATTGATAGGGATGCATACACAGTCCTCTTACCCCCAATGGCTAGTAATAGAGAACCACTGGTTACAAGGAACAGACCTCCAGAAACTAATATGGGTACCTAAAAGGTTGCGCCCACCACAACCCTACATACTACCCACCACCAAAACAATGTTGGAGGCTTGGGATAGATCACAATCGACATTAGTGTCCATGTCACCATGGTCACCGGCAACCCCGCTGTCTAGCCTACATATAGCCAACAACACGTTTGATTACAGAGAATGGACCAAGAGAGGATGCACACATGTACGAGATCTCCTAGAAGGACACAACCCCAGATCATTCCCCGTCCTCCAAGAAAAATGTCAACTGCCCTCTAAACTGATATTTCCATATCTTTAACTTAAATCAATGCTAGGGGCCCAAAGACTCATAGATCAAGGGGGGGGCGAGATCACGAGGCTGGAGAAAACGTGCATGGACAAAAAACAGAGGAAAGGGATTATCTCCATGTGTTACTCGCTTATGAACGTAGGTACCCCAACACATCTAGACAGATTCAGCGAGGCGTGGCAGGTGGACCTGGGAAAACAATTTGATAACACCCAATGGGAGACAGCTGTAACAGCGCATAAGGGGAAGACATTGTGCACATCACACATAGAATTAATGAGGAAAGTGTACTATAGATGGTACATGGTGCCTACCAGATTGGCGAAGATATACCAGGGAACATCAGCGCTGTGCTGGAGGTGTGGGGTGACGGAGGGCACGATGTTCCACATATGGTGGAAGTGCGGGACGATCAGACCCTATTGGGAGATGGTAGAGGACATAACTAAAGAGATGGTAGACACCAACTTAAAACTGACCCCGGAATTGAGCCTCCTATTCATGAACTTAGACCAGTTTCAGGGAACTGGGGCAATATTGGTTTTCCACATACTGATAGCGGCCCTGACACTAATAGCTAGGGAATGGAAAAACACAAAGGCACCGACTAAAAGTGCCCTGATAAGGCAAATCTCAAATAACCTACACTACGAAAAGGTAGCGAGGAAAACCTATGGCAACAGCGCCAAATTCGAGGAAGCACAAGTTAAATGGGAAGCCGCATACGCCACCAAAGAACAGGAAGACAGCGAATAATCCCAAACCAGGGAGTAGCCCCGTAGGGGATCCAGTGAGACAAGAGATACACCCCAGGGAGTAAGAGAGAGAGCCCAAGGGATAGGGACCAGGGAGGACAGAGGAGGCAAACATAGGACATCAAGTGGGCCAAGAGTCCTGAGCTGATTATAAAGTCTCTATAGGGAACAGAACCGGTAGGAAAAGGGACACGCAGATCTCGCCAAATTCCTTCTCCCCCTCACCCCCCCACACTCTTCTCTCCCCACCCCACCAGTTTTACAAATCCCTTCCATGTTGGGATACTAGAGGAGAGATACAAACGAGTAGAAGCTTGAAAACCCGGAGAGAACCTAGGTTGGGAAGTACAGTCCATGCGTGATACAAAAAGCTAATGACAGTTAGTCACAATCGTACGGTACGCAAGCAGTGACTAAGCACAGGACGGGTCTTGAACCCATTGGAAGGGAACAAGCCCAGGTCTAACACTATGGATAACATGCAAAAGAAAGTAGAACTAGAGCCAAATCAAAGGTACACTTTTAAAGAACGGGGGGTAACCCCAAATATGAACATAGCAAGAAGAACAAGTTGTGTACCTGTATGTAATCGGTGTAAAATAAAGAACAAAATAGGTACGATAATAAGTATATCAGTCTCAGACAAATATGCTGAGAAGATATACTATTAAGCAAAGTATACCACTGATATATAGTAAAAAAAGAAAATAACAAACAAATTTTATTGACTTAGTATTAAAACCAAAACGTGCTAGTGTACATATGTGAAAAACACAAATAAGTGCTACAATAGATACCCAAAAATAAGTGTGCAAATCAAAAAAAGAGGATAAAAAATATATCTACCAGTAGTTAAATCTTAATGTATCAGGACTGGCAAACAATCACCAGGCCACTTAGTAGGTATATATCGCAAAAAAATTAAAGAAAACGCTGGTAAATCTCAGCAATTCATGCAGCTGTACTAAGTGCTAGGGGATTGTAGCTAGTATTGTAATGAATTTATACAAACTTGATAATCAAAAGAATTTTGATAACAATGTATAGATACAGAGAGAGCACAGCTCCACATACAGGCTAATGAGAATCACAGTGAATATATTAGCAACATTGTAACTGAAGCTTGAAAAGCCTAAGCAGTCCAGTGTTTCATAATAAGCAGCTTATCCGACTGTGTTGAGAGGATCTAATGGTGCACTGTGAAAAAATGGATGTAACACTGGATATAAATTGCTGCTATAGCAAATATTACCTCTATGATAACATTAGATATAAATGGATGGATTTAACACTAGATATAAATTACTGCTATAGCAAATAATACCTCTGTGCCTTCGAGGGCATCTAACTGTCATCCAGCTAACACAGAATTAATCGAACATGAGATTAACCGTTTGATTAGCGGCTAAGCTCAATCTAAAAAATAGCTTGTCATAGATACACCTAATAAATAAAAAACTATGAATCTGAAAATAGGTAATTTAGTATGATATTTGTGCCTTCAGGGGCACCTACCACTAGTCCTGCTAGACACAGAGGAAAAGAGATAAGAAAATGAAGGAGAGAGAAGGAAACCGTTTCAATGACGGTAAAGCTATAGTAGGAATAATTATGAAAGTATCTATTAAAGGTTTAATTAATCCTGTACTGTGCTCCCCCTTATCTGAAACTAGAACTGTGCTGTAAACTGTGCCTTCAAGGGCACCTGTCACTAATCCCACTGGTGTAGATACAAAGTAGAAATACGAAAAAATAATGTCTACATCACTGATAGGATTCTCTAATAGAGTGTGCTAAAAAATTGATGCGCACACTCAAAAAGCTTATCAATATTAAGATAAGTTAAAAGTGATGAGAAGATAGCATGGTTACAAGTCGAAATACTTCACCCCCGATCATAGGGGAAGTACTATTGAAACGCCCTGACGCGCGCGTTTCGCCCGACCTGGCTCGTCAGAGGGGAACCGGTCGGTACACTGCGTCTGGTTTAAATCTATGAAGAAATATTTCTATTGGTTGACAGAGATGATTCCTGATTGGTTAATGCTCGTTAATTGAGTTATGACGAAATCAAACTTGTAACAAGAGGAGTCAATCAGATGAGTTTGTTAACCCTTTCTCTACTGGATTTCTCAGTTGAATTTAGACAACAATGATAATTAAAGAGGAAAGAACATTTTTCAAGTAAGTTAAATAAATGTTAAGAATAGAGTAAGGTTGCCCTAAATATTGCTAGTTATAATTGGAAAATAAAATATTAGGGGAAAAGGAAACAATAAAAAATTAAACTAAATAAATAATGCAGCAAATGAGTAATAAATGATAAATTCCTTATCCCAAATTGATTAACCCTTTCTCTACTGGATTTCTGAATTTGAATTTAACCAACAATAATGATTAAAGAGGAAAGAACATTTTTCAAATAAATAAATGTTGTGGATAGAATAAGGTTGCCATAAATATCGCTAATTATAAATTTATAATTTATATAAATTAAAGCCTTATCCCAAATAAAATATAGATATAATGAATAACTTCAAACTATGTTTAATAAATGTAAATGAACAAAAAATAAAAGAGACAAATAATTAGACAATATATTACTCTATAATTATAAAAAATTAAACTGGCTATCATAATGAGTAAGCAAATAATAACTTAATACCTGAGAATAGATGAACATGAAAATTAGCCTGGAGAAAGGTATTAAATTCTTATAATGTATTTATATAAGTAAAGGCAGCCAACTTAAAAACATTAATGTTATAGAGATACAATTAGTAAATGGTGAATAAATCCTAAACTTGTCCAGAAAAGGGTAGGTTCAGAGTTAGCCAAGTTGTTTATTGGTGTATAAAGGGGGTAAAATTAAACTCTTCGTTTAAACCGTCAGGTGCTAATGTTTTTAAAAAATAAATCCATCTAGACTCTTTCATTAGGAGAATTTTATTAAAATTCCCTTTCCTGGTGTTTAAGGTTAATTTCTCCAATGCTTGGAATGTAAGGTGTGTTGGGTCAGCCTGATGGTGGTTCCGAACATGGTTTGATACTGGAGTGGAGATGTTTAGGTTGGTGATGGAACAAATGTGCTGTAGTATCCTTCGTTTTAATTGCTGGTAGGTTTTGCCTACATATTGGATACCACAGCTACATGTGATTAGATAAATGACCCGGGTAGAACTACAGTTAATAAATTCCTTAATTTTGTATTCTTTTTTTGTTATGGAACTTGTTACCGTTTTAGTGGGTTTAATGAATTGGCATGCCTTACAATGTCCACAGCGATAAATACCCGTAGTCTGAGTTAACCATGTGGATTGTAATGGTTTAGTGGGCTCAGTGTGACTGTGAACCAAGATGTCTCAAGTTTTTAGCCCTGCGTGCCGTAATTTGAGGAAAATTGCCAATGCTTTCAACCAGATCTGTGTCGTGTTGAAGTATTGGCCAGTTGTGTGTCATTATCTTTTGTACTTTGTCCCAATATAAATCGTACGTGCCTATACAGCGAGTTATTTTTGTTTCTAATTGAGGTTTGCAGAATCTTAGACTTTCACTTCTGTCTGTTAGTAATGCTCGTTGGTAGGCTCGTTTCAGAATTCTATTTGGGTAGCCTTTCTGTTTGAACATCGTTCTTATTTTGTTGGCTTCCTTTTGAAAGGATATTTCAGTGGAACAGTTGCGCCTTGCGCGCAGGTACTGGCCAAAAGGTATTCCTGACTTTAACTTAGCAGGATGATAGCTAGTCCAATGAAGCAGGCTGTTGGTTGCTGTGTCTTTTCTGAAGAGTTCAGTTTCTACCTTCCCATCTTCTAAAATTTTTATGTTAAGGTCTAAAAATACCAAATGTTCGGAATCTATCACGTGTGTGAGTTGTAGACCAATCATATTGGCATTTAGATCTCTAACCAAATTTAAAAATTTGTCAACAGATCCTAACCAGAAGACCAGTATGTCATCAATGTATCTATGCCAACTATAGATACATGTGTCATACTGGTCTCTGGTGATGGCTGGCAGAATAGTCTCTTCCCACCAGCCCAAATATAGGTTGGCGTAGCTAGGAGCACACGCCGTACCCATAGCTGTCCCTTTGAGTTGCAAATAATATTGTCCATTAAAGACAAAAAAATTATGAGTGAGCACATATTCCAATAGTTTGAGAATGAAATCAATTTGTGCTGCTGTAAAGCCTGGTGTTTTATTAAGGAAGTACGATGTGGCTAAAAGGCCTATATTATGTGGAATATTGTTGTAGAGAGCTACAACATCTAGACTACCCAACATACAATAAGGAGGAACCACTAAATCTTCAAGTAGTAGCAGTGTTTGTTTGGTATCTTGAAGATAAGATTTTAATTTAATGACCAAGGGATGTAATATTTTCTCTAAAAATTGACTGCTTCTCTCAGTGATAGACCCATTTCCTGAAATGATTGGTCTACCCGGAGGTTTGGCTGGATTCTTATGGATTTTAGGAAGGCAGTAGAAGGTAGCAATTGTTGGAGTCATATAAGGGATAATAAATTTATATTCGTCCCTGGTAATGATGCCATCAACTTCTGCTGTTTCCAAGATACTTTTCAGTTCAATCAAATATTCTGTAGTAGGGTCCTTAGGAAGATGGCTGTAATGCTGTTTGTCTTGCAGATGTTCCATGCACATCTCAATATAATTAGTTTTATCTAAAAGGACCACATTACCACCTTTGTCTGACGCTTTAATTACCAAGTTTGGTTCATGGCTAAGTTCTATCAGAGCTCTTCTTTCCGCTGCAGTTAAATTGTCCTCACGTCTACTAGGAGTCTCTAAGGACTCAATTTCGTTAGTGGTCATTTTTATAAAGAGGTCTACACTAGAGACTTCCTTGAGATTGGGGGTAAACCAGCTTTCCGGCTTCAGACTAGTAAGTGGTTGAACTGTATCCTGCTCATTAAGTAGGGATAGTAGTGTTTGATAATGCTGATAGTCAATGTTTGAGAAACCAGCTTCTTTGGCCAGTTTTTGATTTTTTCTCTTGTGTACCACATTAAGGGCTAATTTCCTGCCAAATAAATTTGTGTCTTTAATCCAGTCGAATTTGTTGGAATTAGGGGTAGGTACGAAAGACAGACCTTTGTTGAGAAGTGAAAGGTGATGAGTTTTAAGTGTAAATGTTGACAGATTTATTATTTGGTTTACATCGCTGATTGTTAAGTCAGATTCATTCTTTTGTCTGGTTTGTATCCCCATTTTTTCCGGTCCCTTAGCCTGCCACCTGATGGGAGTGGCCAATCCTCTTCTAAAAAAGGAACTGAGGAGGGTTTTTCTATCCTCTCTGTTTGGTTAGTAGTGTCATGGTTCAAAGGTTCTGAATTAACTGGAAAAGTCACAGTTCTATTGGACTTTTTGAGAATACTTCTACCCCTAGTCTGATTTGAATGGTCTCTATTCCTCTGATTACTGATGGATCTGGATGAACTCGAATCTGAGTCCATCCAATCCGTATTGCCTGATGTAGAGCTATTTCTGCTGAAAGTACAGGTTCTTGGCTTTCTTTTTGGACGAAAAATGTTCCCCTCTTTAAAATCCTTATGGTCTCTAAGAAATTTCAAATGTTTTTTCTCTTTGATATGTTTTTTGAATAGGTCTAGATTCTTTTGTAATTTATTTTCCATAAGATGAAACTCCGATTGATCTTTGAATGTTTTAACATTCAATAGTTCTTTTTCTAAATTCTGATTCGTAATCTCTAGGTTTTGTGACTCAAGTTTGATTAGGAATTGCATTAGTTTTGCTGAGCATTCTAGTAAAATACTATTCCATTCCTGGGTCTGCTCTTCAGTGGTGACTTTATCAGGTAATGGGATTTCAGGTCTGAGTCCCCGTGGTACAAGTTTCTGATCTATGTACTGTTTCAAACTCACTAATTCCCAATACCCCTTTATCTGTTGTTGGTATAGTTTCTGGATGAAGAAAAATACTTCACTAATGTCATTACTAGGTACTGTATTTAGTGGATTTAGTGAGAAGACATTATTAATGTCAATTGACCCAGGATCGGGATTTACCACGCTTGTTAAGAAAGTTGACATGGTCTATAGTCAGTTTAACTAGGCTCTACAGATGGTATTGAAACCAGATTTAAAACAAGCAAAAGAAAGTAGAACTAGAGCCAAATCAAAGGTACACTTTTTTTTTTTTCCTTTTTTTTTTTTTTTTTTTTTTTCCTTTTTTGATTTGCACACTTATTTTTGGGTATCTATTGTAGCACTTATTTGTGTTTTTCACATATGTACACTAGCACGTTTTGGTTTTAATACTAAGTCAATAAAATTTGTTTGTTATTTTCTTTTTTTACTATATATCAGTGGTATACTTTGCTTAATAGTATATCTTCTCAGCATATTTGTCTGAGACTGATATACTTATTATCGTACCTATTTTGTTCTTTATTTTACACCGATTACATACAGGTACACAACTTGTTCTTCTTGCTATGGATAACATGTTATTGAAAAATATTGAAATGTTATTGGATTGTAATATACCATGTAACGACGGTTATGATGTATACTATATGCGAGAACATGTGATGTACTGCCATACTTTCCCCCCCCCCCCGTCTCTCTTCTGTACCCCATATACCCACATTTTTGGAAAATAAAAATTGTCAAATTGG